AAAGTAATGACAGGATATGTCTTCTCATTGGATTTACAGAAAGACAATATTAAGACGACAAGAAGAACTACTAAGATTCATTAGCGATAGTAATTATAACAACATTAGATACGCAGATGACATTGTGCTGAGAACAAACTCAGAAAGAAAACAGTGAAAAGGTATCAAAGGAAAGCGAGTAGAAAAAACGAAGTATTAGCGTTAAGTGTGATGTTGGGACGTTCGTTCAGCCGGTGACAAGTGAATGGAACACTTCAATTCAAGCCTTGCCTTGCCCTATATTGTGTTTGATTTAGATCACAAGACTGGCAAGGATCAAATTGTCGACAAGAATTGTTGAATTGATCTGGTCCGGACAAAATAAAGCCCCAAGTCATAGGATAAAATTGTGATAAAGAAAATATTTTATATACCGTTTCTTGTACAGAGCTGATTGTCCAATATCAGTTCTTCAGGTAGAAATATATTTTCTTAATGCAGGACTCCATTTGTCATGCAAAGTTATTCGGCCCTTCCGTTTTTCGAATATTTTGATGACACTTTGTCCGTCGTGACAGGGCTTCTGGAACACAGCGCAAAGTCGGAAGTATTCTTCAGCGGCAGGAAGTCACGTGATTTCAGTGAAGCGGTCGTCTCTCCCTTTGTATCTGGCAGCTTCTTTTTCTGGTTGTCGCTTCGATCTTCTGTTTATATTGACCTTCGTTTAAAACTGGAATGATTTCTGACGTGGTTTCGGATTTCGGTGATTCTCCTAATTTCCACACAGAATTCTTTATTTGACTTTGGGAAATTAATAGCATGTTTAGTTTTGGAGCGATCCCCCCTCCTTCGAGTAGTGGTAACAGAATATAGATCCACCCTAACTCCATCCTTCTCGTGTTGGTGCTTCATACCAATACTGCCCATGAGGTGTGGGCAATTCCTCCTCCTCCTCCTCCTCACTTGATATTCTATCTAGGCCTTTCACTTCAATGCTCACTTGACCAATCCAATCTCTAGATTCCATGGCCTAGCCGGCGTGGCTTAGCTCCAATTATTAATTTTAATTAACGTCCAAAATTTTCATCAACGGAATTCCTCGACCTTATCCACCTTCCCAATCAGACACCCACCAGCTGTTCCCCTGACAACCTCTTCTTTTGGCACCGCGGCCATTATCTAAAGAAATTTCACCGCTTCAGCGGTTCCCACCTTCCCTTTTTTGACAAGTGATAAAAAGAATTCTCCAAGTTTGCCTTAGCTTTCAAAAACTCACAAATATCACTTTTGGCCGACTCCCCTTACCTGTTTATAGCCGGCAGATAATTCCATAATCTGGATTTTAAAAACTATAATCTCTCCATTTCGGCTTTTACTTCGCCTATCTCATCTTCTTTTGACGAGTGATAAGGAAAGAAAAACATTCTTGTTTCCAGATCATCTTAATTTTTATCTCGAGCGATTTTTCCCTATTAGGTTTTGACCAGCAGATAATTCCATAACCTGGATTTTAAACACAATAGAGTCTTCATTTCATTTGTCAACTTCGTCCATATGTATTTTTTGTTGAAAAAAATTTAGATGTTTCTGTTCTTTTCCTCTGCTTTTATCCAAGGAAAAAAAGGAGTAAAAACCCTCTAAAATCTAGTCTCGACTCTTGCTATGTTTATCGAACTATCTTTCAACCCTTAAAGTGTCACATTCTCAGAATAATGAGGCTAATTATTTGTATGAATAGAATATTTTGCAAAATATATTTAAAAATGAAATAAACATAGGAATAAAGTTCTAAAAGTATTCCCAAATATAACAGTCAATAATAAAAATAAAGAAGATTTAAAATTTGCGACATAAAACATTATTTATGATGACGCAGTGGATTAAAAATCTGAGAGATTTTATTTCGAATAATATTTGTCTATCTTCTTAAGAAAACATCTCTCAGCATCATCAATAATAAGCGCTCTTTGACGTAAGATCATGGAGGTCTGTCGATACAGTTTAAAAACAAACGTTATTT